ATCATAAAGTTAAGATGTTATTTTTACTAAAACGTACGTATTGTGCCGGGAAAAAGTGGGTTTGGGGTCAGCCCAGTCTCTATTTCAATTAATCCCATATGTTATGTTGTTCACTTTACGTGTTTCTCGCTTTATTGGGCCTCCACGGGTTCAATTGACCGCGTAAAGCGAAGGTTCACTGTATGTATGTGTATGTATATATATATATATATATATATTTCTAAATATGTTAGGTCTTATATTTCTAGTGATGATGAATCTCTTACAACGACAGTAGTACATTACAGCATATGGCCAAATCCATTTTTTTTTAAATTACTCACTAGCTACTTCTGCTATAGGTCCTACAGTTTATTTGTGTATGTACATAAATATACTGCACATGTGTACATGAAAACATAATATGAATAAACATTTGTAAGCAAGTACTGTACAGTACTTCCAATAAAACACATATCTTCTTAATTAGCTGTGTGGTGTAATGATTAAGAATTGCAAAACACATTTTCTTCATTATGGAGAAGCTAAAGGGGAACTGGCCTGCTCTCACTTGAGTATAAATTTTAAGTGATTCTGTGGTTTTACTCAAACGTTTTGTGGAACGAATTTAATGCAACTTTGTCTCAAATTTCTAGAAATTAAAATTTATATTCAATTATAGTTATTCAGTGCATTGAAACTTCAATAATGAACAAAAATTTTAATAAATATTACCAACCTTGTCATATCAAACCTGTACTATTATTGTTTTGGAATTTCAGGAGTTTCACTTTAGAATAAACTTAAAACTATGCAAAAAATTCTTTGTCACAGGAGGCAAGAAATTAATTTAGAATGTTGAATGAGACTGTATTCTTCAAGGTACTAAGACATCATAAATCAAAGCAATTAAGAGGTATGCCACATACCATTCCCCAGCCATGCTAGTGCTACTGGAATCACAATCTCTCACTCATGATGTCACTTCACTGTTTACTTGAATTTTTATTTTTTGAAATGATGAAGGGTCCTACAAAGAATCTCCATACCAAATTCATAGAGATGTGATCCTGCAATTTCTGGGGTACAATGATTTAAGAAAATTGCAAGTATTTTGGTCACTGTGACTGAGTTATCAAGGTCATATTTTCTTAAGTGGCACCCCCAAGGGGTCTCATAAGTTAATTCCTAAAGAAGATTGTATTTATGATACAGGTAAATACAGGCAGGCTCTGATTTAAGATAGGGTTCCATTCTTGAAAAGTCTTACGTAAATTGAAGCACATTTTCCCATAGCCTCCAATTATAAAAGAAGAGATATACAGTACAGTACTGTATTCCTACCCCAAACAAAATCCCAAAACATCATAAAATGCAACAAAATGCTACAAAACATGTTTTGAACAACAATTTTAGGTGTATACAATACAATGATTATAAACACTACACAACAGTACAGTAAAAATTCTATACCTGTACTTTTGAGAAACCAGACAAGATAGGAAACAAATGAACAGTATGAAATGCTAAACCAACATCTATAATTGCAATACTGTACACTGAGTCTCATTATATGAGATACACTATGTTCTTTATGAAAAAATTATCCCACGCTTCACCCCGATGAGTTATTGTGTCATCCTAATTTCCTACTTTATTTACTGGTACAGTACATGGTGCGAACGCTAGTCGCGAATACCTCGAGCTATGTGACACTGGTTCAAACATTAGGCCAGGTGCACTGTGCCTTTCTTCACACTGTTTTTATTTTGCTTTCACCATGCCCTCAAACAAGTAAAGTAAAAAAGTGATTAGAACTTTGTTTAACACTGCTAAAATGTAGTGTAAAAATTAAAGTAGAAATTTTGAGAAAATGGAACCATGAACAGTGAACTAAAAAGTCCATAACACTGTGATTTGACTGTGGGCTGACTTCAAATTCTTAAAAAGTGGTGCCTTAAAGCCATTGGAGAAAAATATTTAGCACAAGAGGCGAAAGATTATTGTATACCAGCCAGCGTCTCAGCTCAGTCAACTGATGCTACACTTAAGGAGGCCTCCCTCATGCTTTTCTGGCAATATCAAAACCTTCAAATATTTCTTCACTACCAAATTCCACTCTTCTTTTTACAACTCTATACCTTTATTGTACAATCACCCAAATAAATGATGTCACAATATCCAGAAACTTTCAATCAGAAGGTACAGTACCTGACAACTACAAGACTCGCTTTATTTTCGCTTATATTTTTTGGGGGGTGGAATGCAAGTTTGTGAAATAGTAAGAGAAATTAATTAATAAATGCTAAAGCATACCTGTATTGTAAGAACAATTCCTGCACTGTAGTTAAAATTTTAGTATATTTTGAAACAAAATAATGAGATCTGAGATTATTGCCCAGGGACATTCAAGATTAATTTGCCGAGTTAGCATTGGACATCAAAATGAAAAGGTATACTGTACTGTACATTAACTGTGTTAAGTCAAAATAATTATCGAATAAAATATAGTGAAATAATATTCATACTCACCACGTTTGTGCCAAGTCATTACTGAATATGTAAACAAATATTTTCATTATTCACCACCTTCAGGGAGAAAACGTTGTAGGGTGTCCCCTACTGTACAACGTAAGGTGGGAACCATTCATAAAGCAGTTTTGAGCTTTAGATAGCCTATATGCTTAAATACAAGTTTATTGTTACATTTTTTCCCAAGTATTTACAATAATATTAATTGTCACTTATGATCTGAAGTACTGTAATTTTCAGCACTATGGAATAAAACCTAAAACATTATAGATTCCCATTTAACTGCCATTCGTTACTTAAGAGAAAGAATAAAATTCAGTTAAACTGCTGACTTTTGTGAACGTTCATTCAATTAATATTTATTTTAAAGCAACATACGCCTTTCTTATTTTTCTAAAAATAACCCATTTTAAACAAAGATATGAGCAATAGGTAGAATATTCTACACCTAGAAGTACTATAGTAAGTGTTACCGGCTTGTGTTGCAGTGTCATCTCGGACTGGCTGTCCTCTTTTTTTCCTGCACACATCTTCTTCGTCTTTGAAGTATGGGATTGGGATATAGCTCTTTTACTTTTACTATCCATCTGGAAGCCTTTTACCTGTACGAGGGAAAGCCAGAAAAATGTTAGGCAGCGAGAAATTTGGCTCAGAAGTTTGTTTACATAACATCTTACTACAAAAGCGTCCAGTCCACTGGTCATTCATTTATTCGACCTGTCAAATTACCAGATACTGCTGTTTGAATAAATCATACTGAAAAAAGTGACATCACTTCCTAGGCTAATTGTACATAATAAGCATATGAAAATTAAGAAAAAAGAATAATTCTTTAACCATTATTTCATTTTCCACATACTACAGGAGAGTAAATAAGGAGAAAGTGAAAAATCAGGTAACTGGCTCAGTGAATGAGTGTGTGTGGTGGGGTGAGTTATATGGTGATTGTAAGAGAATTATGACATATTGAAATCTTTTTTGTAGACTTAATAGCATTGTGAGTGTTAGAGAATAATGAAATAAGTTAGTGAAATTAGTAAGCATACTGGTATTATAAAACAAACAAACATTATTTTAGCACAAATACATTATCACTAATGATTTTTTTTTTAATTTGGGGTTTTTGTTTGTACGTACATCAAAACGTGGGATTTTTTTCCATAACTAAATTTTCATAAATCATATCCCTATAAATCTGGGTCTGCCTGTATGTTTTTTGACATACATTTTTTTCAATTCATCATCTTTGGCACCATTTTCTGGAGAAAAGTGACACCATACAAAACACATCAATAATACTTATGATGCTTTGTTCAAGAATTATTATGAAAATTTTGATTTTTGAACTTTTAATGACCTTGACCTTTGACCATGACCTCCCCTAAAAGTTCAGTGCTGACTGTATACTCAGTATAGTTCATCGCGTGCAGATACGGACCCAGGTATGCTTTGCTACATTGGGCAATGGTGCAGAAGCACATATGGTCATTCCAATGCCTCGTATACCCCTTCTGGGATGAGGCTATTAGTAAACTAAATAACTGGCTAAAGATTAAAATTGGAATAAAAGTGTACACAATGATGCAATGGTAGTTTAGTATATGAATTGTTTATGTTTTATGATGAGTTATGAGCATAAAAAATAAGCAGCACTAAAATATGTAAAAATTACTGAAACTACAGCATAAATTCAGTGGCAATGCTCAAATTGACAAAATATGGCTCAGAGAACTGAAGAGTAAAATAATATTGCATATACTGTAACTGTAAATCTAGGTAGGTGTTATTTTCCTGAAGGGATTTAGAATGTGGCACAAGACTTTGAGATTACTGAATTAGTATACACAGTAATGGGTTATTATGTTTGAAAAGAACACTGGAATATAAGTAATTATCATTATGGAAGGAGGCAGAATGCTCAAACTTTACCAAGAAAATAACTCTTACATATAGTCAAGTTCAATCTACACTTTATCCTACTGAATTTACGGTTTTCACGTTGAATAGTTACAGTATTTATAAATAAGAAGCCGAGATTAATCATTTTAATACATGCATGTGGAGTAAGGAATGTGGATGAAGAGACTACAGTAATAAACGAGAAAGGGAAATGAAGCATAATAAAAGGATTTTAACATAATACAACTGATTGATCATTACTGGTGTAACCATAAAGAGACTGCTAAAATTGTAAACTGTGCAGTCAGGTGTACATGTATGGGGACATTTACAAAAGAAGACCAATGATGGAAGGGTAGGTTGAAGGAATACATATAGGAACTTTGAGGAAGGTTCTGAGGACTTATATATATAGAAGAGACTGTGTTGGAACACCCTACTGTCAACTGGAGGAAGTTTATTGACTGAAGGGACAGTATGAAATTGAAACATTAGCTTTTCATAAGCCATTAGTTACTATCCTGATGAGTTTGATATATGTGTATTATGACCTGAACAGTTAAGTTAATAAATAATAAGTATAAGAATATTTTTAGCCAATTATATAATGCACATAAAATACTGTTAAAGTATTGTATTCAAATAAATGCAATGTAGTTACAGTACCCAATTCTAAGAGTCTTCAAGGAAACTGCATGTATTGGATTGTAAGCTAAAAATATAAAACCTAAATTTATTTTATAACCAGGATAGTTTCTGCTGTTATGACAACTTAATAATGCACTTCTGCTTGTTCTGGATAATTGTGGTTTACCTGTGAGAGAGAGATAAAGATATAACTTTGATTTTCTAGGATAAAGACCAGCTAATTCTGGAAAGGGGTACAGTTTTACCAGATACAAATTATTTGCCTGTCCAGGAATATAATGATGGTGTACAAATAACTATTAAAATTAATATTTTTGTTAAAGCAGGAGATCCAACTCTATTACATAACAAGACCAAACTTGCGGAGCTTCTTTCATGATTTATTTACACCCCAGAACTTTTCATGTGTTTTGATCAGTTTCCTCAATGTAACGATTTTTAAGTCTTCACCATGAGGAAATACTAATTCTTAAGGCATACCAAATGAGACTAACAACTAACAGAGTAGAAATTTCAGCATATCACTTTTCATATTGTCACTAAACTTGAAAATAATAAACAGATGTGCTAGAGTATATAATACTAGTTTGTTTATGAATGTGTAAGTTTATGCAGTGCTTATGTGTGTACATGTATATGAATGTGTGTTGTCATGTACTAGTTTGTTTTCAACTAATTCAAAGTGTAAGAGAAAGCATTTAAGTTGCTGGTGGTAGTACTGCAAAGTTCATGGAATACAATTTTTTTCTCTGTAGAAAATAAAATAAAAATAAAAGGCTATTCCACAATTCTGGTCTCATGATAAAGAGAATGTCAAGTGTCCATAATATCAGCTGGATCAATCAGCTTATTTAGCACTTTACATTATGTAAACAAGTACTGTAATCTCAAAGAGTACAAATTATAGACCTTCTGCTATGCACCTAATAATAACAAATAACTAAATTTTGGCCAAAATATATAACATAAGTACATTAAACTATGCTGTATAATGACACCAGCTGAGCATTCTTTGACTATCTTGAGATGCAAGTGTTTTGTTTGTTTTTTGCAATGGACACTTGCAGGAAACTCATGGTAGAATAAGAATCTATCATGGTGTAGAAATTGATGCAATTTCATTATTATGTTAGGAAAGGGATACAACAACAACAACTGCAATGATGAATGATTTTGGTCTTAATATTAGTATTAATTACATAAAAAGGTACAGTAATACCATAATATTTACTTTGGTCAACTTTGAAAGCTTGGTTAATACTCTACTATCACATTTCTTTCAATAAAGTGCAGCAGCTATCAAGATGCTTCAAAATGTGATTATCAGACCTCTACCCCAAAACTGGTGAAAAAAAAATCATGGTACAATATCTGTTACTAACTGCATGGTTCCTGCTCATTTGCAACACTTTTACTATTAGGATTAGTCAGAAAAATTGTCATATAAAAATTTGAACTTCATCCAACTTCAAGGTTAGATGCAAAGTGAACAATCATGGAATACAAAATGTTAAACCTAATATAATGAACAGTTCCAAGCTACAAAGTGAAAATATTAAAAACTAGTGTAATAAACTAGTGTAATATCCAACACTACAGTGGTTAAAAGGCAGTTTTAAGAACAACTTGGGCAAAGGATAATGTGCCGATCCTTAGTGTACAACCAACTATATTTACACTTGGTATTTATAATGTGAAGCCCTTACATTTTTCCCAAACATTTCTGCCTAAGGCTTAGGGGCAGAACATGAAACTCATTATTTTCATAAAGAATGACACAGTATGAGCCTAGACAAATGAGAATTATCATTTATGGGTTGGGTCACCAGAATAATTTGTAGCTCATCTTGTCTTCTGGCATATCCTTCATAACTATACTCCTGTTACTCTCCAATTCGTAGAGTAGTAAAAATGTAAAATAAAACCAGAAGTTTATTTAGAAGACTAACATTCACAGTTTACTCCAGGTGCCCAGCTGCTTACAAACAATTATCGCTCATATGACACAGCTCTATGGATGGCCCTTATGCAATAATTTCTAATCTGTTCAATGGGGTTATTTGTGTAAGGCAGCCAGAGGGTGGGGGTGGGCAGAGGATGTATTATGCTTCTGAAGGGCAAGTAACACTGATTTCTCAACTTCAGAAATGGACTATCACAATGCACAGTTCAGGAGGAACCCCATTTTATGCGTTTGGCTCATGACAACCACAGGTTAAAGAAAATATATAACCTACCATAGCCAATACAAGTCTTTCACAAATAACATTATTTCATCTGGGAGGTATCAAAAGTGTTCAGTAGTTCAGAAGAGCACAGGTTTCAGGTTGTGGCAGTAGTGAATGTTGGTAGCCATTATCAGAATATAGCCTTCATATGCCTCTCAAAATGTTCAACCCTTCAAGAAAAGCATTGAATATCAAGAGTTGTATTAAATATTTACCACTATATGGATTCAAAACAGACCAGAAGGCATTAAATGCTACAAACAAGCACTAACCGCAACAAACAAGGGCTAATTGCTACACATTGAGGGCTTGGCGTGTGGGAGGGCGGTGTGGAGAGTGGTAATCATCATCCCTTGTGGGTGGCAGCTGTCGTCGTCCAGAGGGTCGGTCTAGTGGGCGATCATACATAAGCCCAGGGTCCTGGGGAGGAAGCCTGTCACTGTACTCATCATCTCTTAGATCTCTAGGGTCACGAGGATCTCATATCTCGTGGGTCACGGGAAGGTAGTGCTCGGGGACCCCCGTGTCCTGTTGGCCCTCCACGGTGATAGACTGAAATAGTGAAATGGTTTTAGACTCTCAACAAGGTTAATTCATGAGTAATATAAAAGTTGTCTGTATATATAATAAATTCATCATTATTGCAACAGTACTACTGCTTTTATACATCTACTGTACATAGAAAGGCATTATTTGAATTAATATCTTACAGGAGTGTTTCACATGCAATGTTATTTTATATTAGTGCAGTAATTCAATCTAAATATATATTATAATGTAATTCACAATAAACTCTTATACTGTATTAAAACTGATAAAAGTTGTTGAGAAGATAATTGTGGAAAGCATACAGTATTTAGATATGACACCAGTAGTTACAAATGAAATAGATGATCTGCTGATACTAGATATTTAATGTAATTTCCCACAGAGTGAGGTAGCATACCCTTAAATACATTAGGATCAGCTTGGATATAATAGCACCTAACTCACTGGATACAATGGCATACAATAATACTCTGCAATTTATTTGTGTAAACTGTATTACCTAGTGCAATATATATGTTAGAAATAAACACTCAAGCAAAAATCATTAAATGTTCATCGAGATGTAATATACGATTATCAAAATACCATAGACTAAGAAAATTGTTGTATGGTTGAAATAAAGGCCATGTGGACTAAGCTGTATTAAGCAATAATTACTCTTTTATATATATATATATATATATATATATATATATATATATATATATATATATATATATATATATATATATATATATATATATATATATATATATATATATATATATATATATATATATATATATATACACAGGTTGTACCTCTCTAATCCGGCAACCTCGGGACCTGACCGGTGCCGGACCATGGAAATTCACCCTTTTCTTGGATAGATAGTGACTTGGCTTGGAAGCACTAGCACCACTTTCTCTGCTTCATGGTCTCTTTGAAGACATATTGAAGGGTTAAATGTCGTACAGTAGTTTCTCAAATTTCGCGGGTTTTTAATTCAACGTTTTCTATTTGAACACACCAAAAAAACAACACATTTAAAAATTTTGACGCCGGAAACTGGAATTTCGACAGGTTTGAACGGCCCACCAACATTCAGACAATGGGCACAATCTGTAAACAGCGTCATTTCTCTTATGCACAAAAGATTCATTATTGTTTATTACTTTATGTCTTTTTTATTGAATTAATGTTCGTGTGCAAAATGAGCAATACAATTCATTAATAATACGTAGAATATTAAAACACGAGGAAATGACACAGCATTGTTTTCGTCGATTACAAAACCAGTGACTGACTGGTTCTACATATATAACTGAAGAAAATAAGACCTTGGTTGTAGCTGTAGTAAAATTAATATGGTTGTTTAAAGTAATGTTATTTAATGTTAATAAATGGAACAATAGAAGTAGCTAACGATAATTGTAAAGAAAAAAGAGAGATCGCGTATGTAAGTGCGCACACATGAAAACATATCGTCATTACTTTACATAAAAATATGAATGCAACACTTATTTACTGTTTATATATATTTTAATTAATGTTTCTGAATTTGTTTTTATTGAATTAATGTTTGTGTGTGCAAAATTTACAATAGAATTTATTAATATCGTGGAACATTAAAACACACGAGGACGAGACGGCTGCCGGCATTGTTTATGTTAAAGCTTAAAACCAGTGACTGATTGGTTCTACCTATAAAACTGAAGAAAACAAGACCCCGATTGTAGCTGTAGTAAAATTAATGTAAAAATTAATATGGTTGTTTGAAGTACAGTGAGTTCTGCTATAGCGCGTGTTTTGATACGCAATTTGCTCTAGCGATTTATGAATTAGGAGCGATATTTGTATATGTGAACGCTTGTTTGCTACTCTTAGCGATTTTTGCTTACTATTTCTCCAATTTTGGTACAGTGGGGTATGCTATAACAAATGTAATTGGTTCTAGAACCTTGTTCGTTATAGCATTAGTTGAATATAGGATTAATCCGTTCCAGGCCCCCAAATACAACCACTTAACACTGAAAAATATAATATAAAATTGTAAAAATTGTAAAAGTGCATAAATATGCATCTAAACCCCTGAAATAAAGAATATCATTAATATTTGTAATAAAAAACAATAAATTAGAAAAAAAAAAATTTAAATAATGTTAGTTGTAGGAGTTTCGTTCGTTATAGCATTCTCAATTTTATAGGTAAAACCGTTCGTTATAGGAATATTCGTAGTAGGATCCGTTCGTTATAGCATACCCCACTGTATTAACTATGAATATAGTAAAGAAGAATATCAACAAGCGTTCTGGTGATAGAATTCCAGCGATGATCGTAAAAGAAAGGATATAACACTTGAAGAGAAGCTCGATTTATCAACCTCAAAATCACCCTTCTCCCCCATCAAGTAAAGTGTTACATTTACTGTATGATTTCATTATTAGATATGAATGTAACATTTATTTAGACTGTGCTATCCTTTGTGTTAGGCTAACTACTAAATTTTTCGATTCGAGTAATCTGCACCTAACCCTATTTTCTCCATAAGCCCTGTTATTTCTATTGCGACTTTCTATAACACGATATTTTACAAGAACACAATTATCGCGTTATAGCAGAACTACCTATTACCTGTAATGTTATTTAATGTTAATAAATGGAACAATATAAGTAGCTCACCATTAATGGTAAAAAAAAAGTGACTTCTGGCGTATGTAGGCGCACATGTAAACATATCGTCATTACTCTACATAAGAATATAGAAAGCAACACTTATTTACTGCTCATATATATTGAAGGGTTAAATGTTGTACTCTGTATAGACAAGCAGAGAGAGCAGCGAACTGCGGATGTAAACAAACCTTAATTTCCGCGGCTCTGTTTTTTACAGGTTAGCCCACCGGGCATAGGTCACTGACCCACATTGGGGCCCTGAGGGCCAAATTTAATACTCCTTTAATAATAATAATTCAAAAAAAAAAAAGCTGCCTATCTACCTATTGGACAAACTAAAATCGTTCCGGACCACAGAATACCGGACTAGAGAGGTACAACCTGTATGTATGTATATATATATATATATATATATATATATATATATATATATATATATATATATATATATATATATATATATATATATATATATATATATTATATATATATATATATATATATATATATATATATATATATATATATATATATATATATATATATATATATATATATATATATATATATATATATATATATATATATATATATATATATATACTGTATATATATATATATATATATATATATATATGCTGATAGACAAGGAAGAAGAAAGAATTCAGCTTGTGTAATTCACATCTTCAGGGGGTGAGTACACACTGTACTCACCCCAGAGATGTGAATTACAGCGAAAACTCTGTTTTCTTCTTTCTTATGGTTATCAGCATTCTAGATCCTTACACCTACAGTGATTTCCTTGCACACACACACACACATATATATATATATATATATATATATATATATATATATATATATATATATATATATATATATATATATATATATATATATATATATATTAAACTTCTAATGAAAAAAATATGAGTCAATGTAGCCCTGTAGTGATCTACATTAAAAAGTGCTAAAAGTGCTGTGATTTAATTGGATGCTCATTTAGATAGGTTGTGTGAAGGGTAAACTGACCAAATCAACTCAAACATATCAAGACCTGAAGCATGCAATAAAAAACAGAAAACAAATAACAACCTAGAAACAATTTTAACCACATTTCTATAACAAGTTAGTGGACAGCAGCAACCAGGGGGCTAGGATAAGTCCAAGGGACAAACCAAGCCAACAGTTGAGACACTCATTGCAACCAAGGGGTCAACACACAAGTGCTCAACTAAATATACCAGCTGGTGTAGTGCTGTCGTGGAAGTTGGGCCATACTGGCTGGCCACTAGGCCAAACTGGCTATCAGTGGCCAAGCCAGACCAGGCCACACTAACTACTGGGACGGGTTGCTTCCCGGGGCATTACCTCTCTCATCCGTATAGCGAGGGTAGCCGGGCTCACGAGCCACGGACCCGGGAGGACCTAAGGGAATGACACAGTTAGATGGGCAATTGTACACAACTAGCCCATACCCCATTTTGTTATACTTGGCCAGTGGTGTGATGAGAGACATCTATGTAAGCAATTAACAGTCAAAATGGTAATTAAAGTTCAAGTTCAGGAACATGAATTATATACAGTATTGTTATTTTGGCTTGAATGTTAAAATTAGTATATGAAGACAACAACGTCTATACAAAATAGAGGCACAAGATTTTTGAGCAAAAACACATTTTAGTTACTAAACACAAAAACTGTACAGGTAGTGTAATTAAGCTGTCTTTTTAGTTGTACAGTACTGTACTGTACAGTATACAGTAATATTATTTAACTTATATATTTATTGGAGAAATTAGTCTTATAAGTTTTTTAATTGCATTAATGTGATACATTACTTGATGTGGCTTTCTCAGTTCCAACTCTTTACTGCTGCAGACACATATAATATCAATATAATGTATTAGAATACACCCAAAAATTGATTTCAGATTATTGTGCGAAGGTTGAAAATTTTATTGTTGCCAAGTTTAGCTCTTCCTGTATGGGCAATACTTTTTACAGAGTCAATAAGCACAGAGCTTAATTCTACCTTCAAGGAACAACCATTGAAATACAATCAATAATGATTTTAATTCACCTTTCTTGATGAGGATTCAGAAAAAAATTGCATTTAATTTTATGAAATTCTCCATCATTGCTGAGGAGAAATTATGTGATCATGAGAACCATCACAGCTTTGCAGAGGTGCCTGTAAAATACAGTAATCCAGATGAGTACAGGACCAACCAATTCTCTGTACCTCAAATTTTCATCTTCCAAGAGAAAGCATGTGAGGAGGAGTATTTTTGTAAATTATTTACCCCTGTACGTACTTAATAGTAGCCATCTGATTAAATTATTTTTTTATTTAAATCTTTGATTATAAAATACTCGATCACGATAGACACATGGTCGAAGAATTTTTTTTTTTTACAATATAGCTTCTTACAGTTTTCCTTGTCACTTCCACCTCAAGGTCAACACCAGAGGCCCCCCCTAAAAAAAAAGAATTAATTAAGTTCAGTCATTTGGAAGACCTAAGTAATTTTTTACTATTTACTCACTGACAATGTGAACTACAGTATTATAAAATATATTTTCAAGTATTTTACTGTACAGTACAATACAGTACTGTACTGTATTACAGGTACATGTCAATGTTTGACAAGTGGGTTGCAGGGCTCTAAATGATAGCAAACTCATGTTTACAGTCATTTAGTCATGCTCATAGGTGAAAAAGGATATGATTCTAAACTGTCAGAGATGGGAATACTATATGCTTCTAATTCATCTTATCTTTGTTTTACAACAATTTTCCATGCTTGCATGGGTTAGCCATGATTACTTGATGGCAGCTGTCCAAACTGTACAGTTTCTTGCAGCCTATCTCATCAAGTGCTTATATCAGTATCTGACAATTTCTCACAACCTCTCCCCAAGTCATTCATGGCCTTCCCCTAGCTCTCCTCCTCTGCCCATTCAGACTCATGCATAACTTTACCCAATTGGTATACTCCATTTCCTCCACTTGTCCACACTGTCTCAGCCTGCCTCTACACAAAACCTCACCAATACAGTACTGTACTCTCAATATCCACTTAGTTCTGAACAGGGTTTCCTATCTCTCAATGTCACATTACATATTCATCTCACCATTCTTATTTCACTTAACTCAAGTCAATGTATGTTATCCTCTTTAATCGCTCGTATTTTAACGCTATACAACAACAAACTTCTTATGCTGGTGATGTATAAATTTCCTTTCAAGTGAAGAGAAGGTCCTTTTGTGATCAATTAAGGTAAAAGCTCCCTTAGCTTCTTCCAGCCAGTTCTGACATTCAAATGAGCTAGCTTCAGCAACTACCCCAAGCACTGATCATGTCAACCAAGTAACAAAATTTATCAATACAATCCAGGAACAAATCTCCATTGATAAGCTTTTCCAACCTTGCTAAGGCCACATGATTAACAGCACATACAGCAAACTTAAAGTCAGCAACATTCTGTAGTCTACCATTTACTGGTACTGTGCATCACTGCATCCCAAAACTGTAATCAGCACGTAAAGAAGTCCAATACTGTACCTATACAGGTACTGTACTGTACACTAAGATTCTAAAAAAAAAAAAAAAAAAAAATTTGGCCATCCAGAATAAAAAAAAACACCCCAAATCAAAATTGAAATATTAAGAGGTGGTGGGGGGTTCTAAAACAAATGAAATTATTACCAGCCATTACTACAAGTTACATATTTTTTACCTCCGCTGCAGGTTGAAGAAGCCACAAGTTCAGAAAAGTGTCAGGGCTAACATTTCTTGAGCAATAATCTTAATAAATCACCTGCAACATTAACTCAGTTTGTCCGCACATGACTCTTCTAAAATTATTCCCTGATAATGTACAGTATGTACATTACTGCTCCAGACACCTCACATTTCAAATTCAGTACAATTCAAGGTTTGAAACCCACAGGATCACAGGACAAAAACAGATTTATTCAGACTAATAGTACTAGTTGAAGAAGAAGTCCATGTTTCACGATGGATGTCGAATATGAAATATTTTCACAATAGTCCATAGCACTGGTTCTTAAGAACAGCATAAGAGGGGTTGGCTTGTTTGTTAAAATCAATGCCAACTTTAACTGGATGGCTCTACAAATGCCTCTTGAGAAGCCATGACAGTTCTCATTTATCACAATTAATTTTTGTTGCCAACTATGAATTCATTTCTTAAAATATGGTACTGTACTACTACTAGTACAGCACAGTATGCAAAGGCTGAGAAATTATATTAAAACTTTTCTTCTAGCTTACACATTATGTACAGGTATTCAGATATTACTCATCTAAATCTACTGAAATTCCTTTATGAATGACAGTTGAAAACTTATTCAAAATAATATTGTGAATCTGCAAAACATTTTCAAATGTCTTGGCATTGTAAAAATAGATATGATTTTAGTAAATTATCAATGGTTTGTGAAATCAAATCTCAGTAATATTTAATGTTGAATCTAAAGGGATAAAAATCAAACCAATGAGTGATTTACTCACTTTTTTTGTCTCAAGAATATCATGTTCATCACACTACTGCCCATACACAACATAACTCAAAGGCTGTCAGCTTAAAGCAATTTTCTTCTAAAGATTTGCTGAAGATAACTACAGTACAGTACATCAATAAAATGTCTTCTGTAACAGTTCAAAAGTACGGTACTACTGATATTTACTGTATGTATTTATCTATGTGCATAAGCTGTCAGCATATGAGAATCAGAAAGAGAAAAGGTAATAGCAAGAGGAGTAATTAGCACAGAATAATGGCTAGTAATAACCGAGACATTTCTGAACAATTTCACTAAACTTGATATTATAGAAATTCAAGATTGTTATACTGTACTTCAAGCAATAAACTAAAGTGATTGAGTTGAAAACTGATTCATTCCTATCTTGAAACTTCTACAGTATTACCAGTACAGGTTGTACCTCTCTAGTCCGGCATTCTGTGGTCCGGAAACTCCCATGGTCCGGAACGATTTTAGTTTGTCCAATAGGTAGATAGGCAGCTTTTTTTTTTTTCTGAATTATTATTTTTACAGGAGTATTAAATTTTTGCCCCTCAGGCCCCAATGTGGGTCAGTGACCTATGCCCGGATGGGCTAATCCCCGTAAAAAAAAAACAACAAAGCCGCGGGAAATTAAGGTTTGTTTACATCAGGCAGTTCGGCTGCTCTCTCTCTCTGCTTGTCTATACAGAGTACAACAATTAACCCTTCAATATCTAAGAGCAGTAAATAAGTGTTGCTTTCATATTCTTATGTAGAGTAATGACGATATGTTTTCACATGTGCGCACTTACATACGAGCAGTCTTACTTTTTTTTTTACCATTAATGGCTAGCTACTTATATTGTTCCATTTATTAACATTAAATAACATTCCAGGTACTTCAAACAACCATATTAATTTTTTTACATTAATTTTACTACAGCTACAATCGGGGTCTTATTTTCTTCAGTTTTATATGTACTAGAACCAATCAGTCACTGGTTTTGTAAGCTTTAACATAAACAATGCCGGCAGCCGTCTCGTCCTCGTGTGTTTAAATATTCCACGTATTATTAATAAATTGTATTGTTAATTTTGCACACACAAACATTAATTCAATAAAAACAAATTCAGAAACATTAATTAAAATATATAAGAACAGTAAATAAGTGTTGCTTTCAAATTCTTATGTAAAGTAATGACGATATGGTTTCACGTGTGCGCACTTACATACGCGATCTTTCTTTTTTCTTTACCATTATCGTTAGCTACTTCTATTGTTCCATTTATTAACATTAAATAACATTACTTAAAACAACCATATTAATTTTACTACAGCTACAACCAAGGTCTTATTTTCTTCAGTTTTATATGTAGAACCAGTCAGTCACTGGTTTTGTAATCAACGAAAACAATGCTGTGACATTTCCTCGTGTGTTTTAATATTCTACGTATTATTAATGAATTGTATTGCTCATTTTGCACACAAACATTAATTCAATAAAAAAGACATTCAGTAATAAACAATAATGAATATTTTGTGCATAAGAGAAATGACGCTGTTTACACGATTATGCACGTCGGCGGGCTGTTCAAACCCGTCGAAATTCAAGTTTCCACCGTCAAAATTTTTATTTATTTATTTTTTTGTGTGTTCCAATAAAATACGTTGAATTACAAACTCGCGAAATTTGAGAAGCTACTATTCGACATTTAACCCTTCAATATGTCTTCAAAGAGACCAAGATGCAGAGAGAGTGGTGCTAGTGCTTCCAAGCATAAGCACAAGTCACTATCTATCCAGGAAAAGGGTGAATTTCCATGGTCCGGCACCTGTCAGTTCCCGAGGTTGCCGGACTAGAGAGGTACAACCTGTACTCAATTTGTGAAACAG